TTTCATAATCAGATCAAAGATGGCTGAATAACGGCTGTTTTTATTTTGGCCATATTACTACGACACGAAACACGTGTTTTGATGTAAATAAACAATCTGTTGTATACGCCACTTGGAACTCAAGTTTCAAGGACCCGCTCGCGACAACCCCTCCGCTTTAATATGACGAGCACAATGAGAACTTAACGGGGACTGTGTCATTTTCAATGACTTGTTATACATGTACCTGCAATCATGCAGGTACAATCTGAGTGTGCCTTTAACTTTTTGAAGATCTATGTATGTTTTTCACTTGAGTCTGAGTAAGACTCAATGTTGGTAAATAAATTGAAAAGTAATTGTTTCCATGGCAACAAATTCATGTAACTCCCTTTTTATTAACTCTTTGTCTTTTGTTTGATGTGAACTTGGCGAATTAGAATGTGTCACGCCTTAAAATTTTCTATTTTTCTATTTTGACTCGTTAGCAAAATCCATTGTAAAACTTTGGTTGATAAATTAAGGTTTTCCATCTTTAATAAATATTTTGGTTTATGGCAATAGGAACCTGTACAGTTTCCAGATGATTTTGATGAAATTAAGTTTCCCAAGCAAATACACATCCTGAATTGGTTGTTGGATCATGATCCAGATAAGAGGCCTACCGCACAGGAACTGTTACAAAGTAACCACTTACCCCGTCCAGAGATGGAAGATGCTCAGTTATATGAAGTACTTAAACATACCATGTCTAATAGAAAATCTAGTGCTTATAGGAGACTAATGAATGAATTGTTCTCTCAGCCGATTGAAACTGCTACTGATTATACCTATGATATGAATATTCATAAGGTAGGTATATGCCAGACATCTACATCTACATGTACACAAATGCAAATGAATTCTGATTCATTATAAGGTCTTGCTCATATTATCAAGACAAAAATGTAAGTTTAATCACACAGTGTGTATTTTTGCATCCTCCATGTCCATGTCATCACAAGAGGTGATGGTATTTGGGGTATCAAGTTATGTACGGGTGCCTCAAAAGCATATTTGTGGGGGTGTTGTGCGGGCATGCAGAAACCACAACACTGATGTCTGCGTGTTGATCTGCGGGTACGTTCTGAGGGCATGGAGAAACCACACAAGAAATGTTTGTGTGTACCGGTAATACCGATTCTTTTGTTTTATTATGATAAATAAAATCCATTAACCTATCAGTAAAATCGGTTTTCAGTGGGGAATGTTTGAAGATGTCATTAGAACGAATTAAGCGAAAAGCTATGTCTAGGTTCAAAGATGTCGGCCCCATATTTAATCTTTTGTTCTGGTTTGTGAATGTCAAGATCAAACGTAAGATGATAGGATGAGAAGTGACTCAAGGTATTCATTCAATGCTGAGGATAGAAATTGTGGATTGTAGTCGGTATATTACAAACCCAAACCATTTCTTAGTGCAATTCAAGTTAAACATTGTCATTGAAAGACTGCAAACAGTCAGAAAAGCAGCAAAGTATGAAAATGACAAGTGAGCTGCAGGCATAGCCAATTTTTACAGCAGGCGCAAGAATATTGCATACACTACCCCACATCTGGTTTCTGAAGGGCTTCGCAACTTTCCCTGACACTTTTACCAAGGAACTAGATTTACTGATTATCCAAACTCTGGATGCGGTATGCCTTTGATATATAATCGCTGTGCCAGCACATGTGGACTATTCCATTACCTTTGTAGGTCAAAAAACATTACTGTAACATTTGAAAGAAATCTAGCATGAACATAGAACAGAGAAGGAATAGTAACAAGCAATAGTAATTCTAAATTCCGTTGATTGGTTCTCAATCTCCCATACAATGTTCCATTGTCAGTTTTCTAAAACATTCCCTGGAATCTTTCACTTTTAGTTTTATCTCTATACGACACAAGCCACACTGTGACCATTACCGTGAACTTCCTGTTTGTAATGCTATATGATAATGCTAGACCAACTGTCACACAAAACCGAATAAAAAATCATTCTTAAATAACAATTTATTCTGATTTCATCGACCAGAGAAATGTGGAGACCAGTAGAATGTAACATTTACATTGTCACTTAATTAAACATTGTAAACGGAAATTGATTTCAGCTTGACAGTTCAAAATAAGCAACTTATTTTTACCTTGCCCGTACCATCAAAGGTATATTAAAGGGAAAAATAAGGCACCATTTTGTCCGGCGTTGTCATCGTTGTCGTCGTTAATAATTGTTATTGTGTGCATAATAACTTTACTAATTCTATTCCAAACTTCATCAAACTTGGTCACCTTATTCATCAGTATAAAGTCTTACCTGAGTTTGAACAACAGATGTCCTGTATGAAAATATCATGCAAAAATTGAGAAAATCTGATAAAATATTTTGACTGTTTCTACTTGACTGATCGCTGGTGATACACATCAAAGGTCACTGATCTCAGTGGAAATATGCATTGTTGTATGTGTTCAATGAAGCAAATGGTTTATCATGTAATAATATT